GAACTGCCTCATGAAGGCATGGGGTAATTATCGGTCTTTATTCTTCCGCCTAGTCGAATGCAAAACCATCACTCGACAATCGCTGACGCGTATCATGGAAGGTGTGTGGTGTGTGGAGGAACCAGATCAATACGTCCTTATGAGTTGCAATCACAATGGCCGCAGATGTCAGCACCTGTAACTCGTAATGGCAATAACTAATACACTACGTATAAAAGTTCAAACGATGGGTAGAGATAACTTAAAAGTTATTTAAGGATATCTCAGGGAAAATACATTTTTAAGCCACTAAGGGGCCTCACTAACATACCTTCGAAAGACACGAATATACAAAATGTCGTTTCAGCAAATGTAGGTTAACTTGTACTGACTGGACGCATTAAAAACCAGGATGATGCGGTTGGTGTGAAACGTGATGGGGGAAATCATCTATTCGAGCATCGTCGTCTGATGAAGTATCCGAGTACATTCTCGATTCCTCAGTGAACTGGCGTTTCCTGTGGGACTGCTGATGTTGGGCGCTGGGATACCCCGCAGGCAACCCATATCGTTGCTGCTGCTGTTGTCGAAGGGTACGGTTCCCGCTGGAAGGGGTCTGTGGGCTTGGACTTTCCGAGGCGCCACTACGCGGAGCGCGGTTGTTAACGCCACCAGTCGAAACCCCGGAAAGAATTGCCGTGAGGGAGGAAGTTGCGGAGGAGGGAGTAGGGAGATGGCGCGGCTGTTGTAGTACCTGTGCTTGATCTGACCACTGACCACCGCCACCATTTGAAGGTGGCATTCCAGGGGATGAGACCATATTTACTCCGGGCAACCCGATGCTCGGCGAGTATGCATCTGTTTTAAAGTAGCAAATGCGAATAACTACGTATACAAAGGGCAAGTCGAATTGATTCATACAATTTTTACTACTATCAACACGGGCAATGATTATTTCCTCTTTGATGCTTTGCTAGCCTACAGGTTCGGCACAGACTGACTTCTGGTGCTTAGTAAAATTGTGGTGTGTGCAATCCGAGTACAATATATGCTGCGAAGCAAAGCAAAAACACAAAAATCTTCATAGTCATACCTTTGCGACAATACGGATTTCAGGAAGACAAATAGTTGATGAAGTAGGTGAGAGGACCGCCACATAAAATAAATGATTGGGCAGGTTCCCTCAGTGTACTTGCAGAATTCAAAATCCATGTGAATTCCAGTTAAATTTAACGGATTAACATACCATTGCAAAGTTACATTATCTGCTGAGTGCCTATGGGTAGGTGTTAGCTAGATTTATTGCGTGGAAACACGGTGAAAGTTGGCGTGACCTAACCAAGCAGTGATAAGCGGATTAAAAAGCATAAACGTAAGATTTAAAAATCACAATGAGTAAAATGGAAACATACGCGTGTTCTCATGCACTCCACATGGCCGAGAAGCAGGGTTGTGGGTTTGATTTATGGGGTTCATTACGATATGACCTGGAGTTGTTTCAGACCCGATTGGCGTTGTCAAAACAGGAGTTGGAGTGGAGGTGACGACAGGGTGGATCAGTGCGACTGCGTCTCTAAGACTCGGCAAAAATTTTCCAGTGTCGTCTAGGTGGCCCAAGTATCCACGACGTATCTCTTCTTTGTTGGGGTAGGGACGCCTAGGGTCACCAGGACTCCAGTTATCTGGAGCCAGAACACCGTAACTACAACTTATCCGATGAGCAAATTTAGTTAGATCATCCACGTCAATCGGATTTTTGATAGCATTAACCATAGAGTCCAATTTCTGTCTAGAATAATACAATGCAGTACTCTGAAAGACAGTTAAAATAAAAGTGACATAGTACCAGAAGTAATTCACACTTCTTCAATTGTTTTTGACAAGAATTAATTTGTACATCGGAGTTGGCGCAATCAGCTCTCAGTTTCTCGATCATCACTTGCATTTCCATTTGCTCAGAAACTACAAATCACTCAAGCCCATATAAAATACCTGTTTTCAAAGTTTCTTTTACTTCTTTGTCTTTATCCAAAAGGAACAAAACGACGTGCTCAAAATCATCAAACTTAGACTTCCTGTTGACTTTATCCAACAAGTCCTTAAGAAGCCCATCTATTTCTTCAAGTTGACAAAGTAGTCGATGTTTCGTGGAAATTCCAGTGGACATTAAGCTGCTATTTAGTGTTTAGTGGTGTGGTGAGGTGTGGTGTGGCGTCGGATTAGGGCGCAGACATGTTAAACCACCTGGCCTCAGTCAATCCCGTGTCTCTCTGCGATCCAATGGCATGCGGGAAAGGAAGGCAGCCAACCAGAGAAGGAAACGGATGAGATGCAGTATATAATGAGCGGCGTGGCCAGCGTGGCGGACTCGGATCGGAGGCGCCTGACGCGTGGCTCTGGCTTCTGATTGGTCAATAAAGCCTGTTCTGTTGTACCAGTCTTTTACCTATTAGGG